GTCACGTCACAAATGGAATGATCTTTCTTCTACCGTCAATCTGAGTTTCTGAGGGTCATGCTTTGTCTTGGGTAGATTTATTTATTTTTTTCTTGAGTTGTTAAGCTTTGTAAAATCAATTAAAAAACGATATTTTGTTCGGCTGTGAGCATTTATCTTGTATTTCCCAAGTTATTGGCCCCTGCAAAAATAAAACGCATACGTAAACATGTTGCCAAAACGACGTGTAAATTGGATGAATACTGTCCAAGTGCAAACCCTTTTACCCTTGGATTTCATGCATTTGTTTTGTATTTAATACACCTTTATTAATCTGGTTTAAAATTGTATGCTATTATAACGTAAACGGACGTTTTTGTTCCGTGTTATAAGGTATGCAGAGTTCCATGAAACTGTTCCTCGCACGTGCCCATAACATATGTGTATAATACAAAATACTATTAACGTAATTATTTTTTTTGTATTAATACACTTGTTACTATATATAGTAAAATAAATCACGTATGATTTCAATTGATTATGAGTGTCACGTAACCTATTATGAGTTTGCAGCCCGTGGCCGAGAACTAGTAATCAGCCCGCCGAACATGTGCACGTGCACAAACTGAAACGATGACGTCATATTTTATGTCATCAAACAGTTGACTGTCAAAGTGAAAGTAGGTTTAATGCAAGACTCGCTTGATTTTATTATGAGAGCTAAAACGTTTGTCGTACAAGCACAGCCTCGGGGCAATTTTTCATTTTGCGGGCCGAAAATCACCTTACGGCCATACTCTGCCGTGTATAAATATCTAATTATAGATCATTTAACTTATAATAAGATAAAGAATACTTAAGGGAAAGTTGATAAGAAACAATTTTTAGCATTTATTCAGTCGGATTTCTTTTCCCTAAAGAATAAGTTGACTATCAAGACTTTTGTGCTTTATTTTCGACCGCAAACAATTTGAGATGAAAATCGAAATACCTAAAAGGAATGTGCTAGTATTTACACAATGTTTATATTTCTACTTGTAAAATAGTCATCTATTATAGATATGTGTCTTATTATTTATGTAAACACATTGTCATATGAAACTATAAACGAATTTGCGAGAGCTATATCGTACAGCTAATCTTATGTCTTAAAATGGTTCCTTATGAAATAAAATAGGAAATAAAATATGTTAAATGGAATGCCTTACAGGGCGTCTACTCGTGTTAAAATGGTCAACTTATTTACGATGTAAAAGAAGAAAATTATACAATTATTGCTTTAATCATTTATAGTATCACATATTATCCTCTAATTTGAGAAAAAACAAAGACTTGTAAAACCTTGTATGTAAAAACCATCATTGAAATTTAAAAAATAATTAAAGAAGACTTATTGCTCAACAAGAAGATGATAATATGTGATCCAAAATCCATAGCCAAAGATTTTCGGGGGAAGGAATAGCATGTACATATTATACACGAAGTTGGCACATTAAATATTCTGCTAAATGAAAAGTCAATTTTGTTTTTATTCCTTCAAACGGAAAAAAAAATTAACGAAATTTTCCCTTTTAATTTCCAGATATTAACTGATGATATTCTGTATACATTATGATTTTGACAAACGAATAAACGTTGCTCAAAGAATACAGTGTTTTGTTATTTTATTAAAATTTGTTTGTACCAGAACTGTCTTGTACTTATTTTCCATAGGGGTCATTCTAGAATACCTTAGAAAATTCAGATATTGTCATGACCTTTGCCCCCAGAGACTTGCCCAAGGAATAATAAACTAGATAGAATAGTGTAGCATAATATGATCCATACACCACTATTATCGCATATGAAATTTTATAAATCCTTCTCTTAAAAATTTATTTTCATTTTGTCATTATTTTTTAAGTATACATCTGCAATAATACAACACAGAAATCACTTTTTTAATAAGAAACTTGCCTATTATTTGATTTGACATAGTTCAGGTAGTACACATGACCTTAATCCTCGCAAAACAAATAGCATTACTTATTTTCCTTTCTAATTAGTCTGGGATGCATAAAAAATAAGAAAAATAAAATTTAACTAAACACTAACACTTTTTCACTTGGTATATCGTTCATTGATACATGTGTGTATTTTTTTCTCCATGTGCGTCCATATACCCTCCATTATGTTCGTTGTTTGTCCTGCTGTATAGATACCACATTCCCTGTGCTGGTGACAGGAGCGAGGGGTTGTGTTTAGTTAATGTTGTTCTCCCCTGTTGATAATTCATTTCATATTTAACAACAATCACAAATAAAACTATGCGAAACGATTTGTTAATTATCTAAACAAGGTATCCTTCATATCTTTTAAATAAAATAAATAATATCATCACAATTTAACGTTGATTTTTGATCCAAGACTTTAGGTATTTTAGAGAAATTTGGTCAATTCAAATTGTGATATACCAGTAAATATTGAAGAAATTTTAATTAAAATGACATTTAAGCAAAAATAATAAAAAAGTTTTGTTCGATTGTTGTGTAAGATGTCATTTTGTTCCATCTCGTGAACTTTAGATACGGTATTCTTAAGTACTACTCGTGAGCATACTGTTTTGAAAGCTCATTTGATGAAATATAATTTCATATTGAACATAAACAACCAAATACAGTCTATATATTTTTGATAAGTGTGAGATGCATGATTTGACACATCTTTATACAGCAGGTAATAAATTGTCTTTGAACAAATGTAATTGTTATCCATATAAATGTCTACACTTAACATTTTACAACTCAATCAACATTTTTGTTTAAAAAATATTATTATTAGAATATTCATCAAATGATTTGTAGAATTGTATTGTGCTCGTCAATATTTAAAATAGAAATTATTATAAAAAAGGTCTTATTGTAGACCAATTCAATCAATTCATAAAAAGGGGTAATTAAAAGCATTGTTACCTGAATAAAAATATTCATTTTATACTTTAGCGTTATTGGAGTGACCAACAAATAAATATTGTTATAACAAGTCGTTTTCAATTTTAGTTTTGATATTTGATTAATAGAATAAATACAATAATAGACTATGTAATTAATATCGATGGAGAAAAACATTGTGAAAATGTTATTCAATGTTTTTATTTATGATTGATATCATTGATTTATTAATTTGCTTTCTATGTTTTGTCTTTAGTGAATGTATAAATGCCCTATTTTTCTAAACAAACCATTTGGCTGCAAACCATTAAAACACACATTAATTGATCTGTTAGCAATACAATAAATCATATTACTCATATTAATTACTGAGACAACATTTTTACAACAAAGAGAAATGAAAATGATAATGTTTATTTATTGAAATTTTTTTTATGGTTTCAATTTTACTAACGATTAAATGTGGCTTATGGGTGAGATGGATTATTAATATTTCAGCGAATACATTCCAGTTGGTGTCTCACAGTTAAGAGCATGAAAAGGTATTTGTCTACCTTTGTTGAACATATGCGATTTGTTTAACATCAACGATGATTCTGATTTTTCTTGTGATTAATTACTGTTTTTCAGAAGTGCTTACTTTGGAGCATTATGTAACATCCTCATGCAAGATAGAGAAAATATCCGTAATCCCTCAAGGTGTGCCAACAGTACTCAAAAATGAACACTCATTGATCTCGTGCATTTATCATTGTCATAAAGATGGGCTGTTATCGTTCTTCTTGATTGAGAATAATTCATTATGCTTTTGTAGCTCTGAGGTTGATTATAGTATTGACAAAAATGAAACAGGTGGAATAATCCAAGGAATAAGGACACAGATGGTGTCGACAACATATATACAAGTAAGCAAATTTACAATTTTTTATGAAAGATTTGTAACTGTCAACTTAATCAAGTTTTGTAAAAGATGGTAAAGAATTTTACGCTTAGTACATTTTTTTGATTAAATGCCATTTTCTTATCATCTACTTTTATCAATATTGCATTCACATTTTAAATATATTACAGTAATATATATATTTAATTAGCATTTCAAAATGCATCAACTTTTGTCTCATGGTCTGATAAAGTATGAAGCACATATGACAGATCTGGTTATATCAATTAGTTTCCTAGTACACCTTGCAGATTATTTTTTATTTAAATTAGTACGTTGTAATTCAAAACATATAAAATTCACAATAGCGCAAACACATACTCATCAAATATATACTATGCATTTGATATCATATGATATTGTTTATCACTGTTATTATATAAATGTATTCCTTTCCTCTTGTTAATTTGATTATCATGATTGCTTACTAAAGTCATACTCATCTATTTATTTTCTATTTAAATTTAGTACGTTGTTTATCACTGTTATTATATAAATGTATGCCTTTCCTTTTGTTAATTTGATTATCATGATTGCTTACTGAAGTCATACTCATCTATTTATTGGACTAAGTACCATTTCCAAATGAAATTTTCGTTTTGAACTATCGATTCATTAACTTGTTTACAGTGACTTCGAGTCTTTAGTCCGCAACAGTTACGTTTCGTGCTAAAATCACAATTCAAGTCTTTAATCTAAAAGTGTTATTATATGTAGTTTCTTTTTTAAAAATAAAACACATAAAGATAAATTATAACTCAATATATCTAAGAATAAATGAATATAACGCTTAAGTTCTATATAACTTTGTAGTAAATAAGTAGTTTCAATTAATCTTTCGTGATTTTTGTGGCTTCACGTATTAGGAAATATTCAAATTTTCTTCATATTGCATCATCAATGACATTAGTTAATTTTCTATTCAAAATTATTATTCAGCTATTTATGATTAATGAAATGATATACTTACAGATGAATTAATAATAATCATTTCAATTCTTCTTGTATCATAAATTTATTGTAAAAAGATAAAAAATAGAAGATATTTCAAGTTGAATTATGAAAAAATAATGAACGAAACATAGATTGATTACGGGGTAAAAATATATTAATGAATGTTGTTTTGGGATCTGATGCAAATTTATCTTAAAATGATTTATTTCAATGCCTTTTTTCAGGAAGGCAGTCAAAAAGTAAAGAGAGTACAAAAACAACCAGAACCTATTGACTGCCTTGCTCTTTATCAACAAGGATACACCGAAGACGGGTTGTATGTGATCAAGCCAGGTGTAAGTTCTACTACCGCTGATGTGTGGTGTGATATGACCAATGGTGGCTGGACGGTTATACAACGTCGACAAGACGGATCTGAAGATTTCTATAGAAATTGGGAAGAATACAAACGTGGATTCGGAAACAGAAGCGGCGAATATTGGCTAGGGCTAGAAAATATTTACTATTTGACTAGTGACAGTAGCTCACTACATGTATACCTTGAGGCATTCAAGAGTGACAATGTTGGTCCAGTGTCTGCTTTTGCTGAATATTCAACATTTAGAATTAATGACGAAAATGATAAATACAGATTGAGAGTTGAAGGGTTTAACGGCTCTTGTGGTGACTCAATGTCGTATCATAACGATTGCAAGTTTACAACCATAGACAGTGATAACGACATCTATAACACAAATTGCGCAGTAGTTTATGGGGGAGCTTGGTGGCACAAATCATGCCATCATTCAAATCTAAATGGATTATACCTGGACGGAGCCGATACTGCGTTTGGTCGAGGAATCAATTGGCATTCGTGCTGGGGACATTATTACTCTCTAAAGAAAACTGTCATGAAGATTAGAAGAAACAATTAAAAAGAATAATTTCAAATAATCCAGTTCTATTACATATCGTTATAAACATTTTGTATTTTTTTTTATAAAATAATATTATTTGTCCCCAAAACTATACTATTGTTATCTGATAGTACATAACATTTATATTGTTCATAACAAAACACAAAACTTCAAGGACATGAAGTTTATGAAACCTCTCTGTAATGATTGTTTTAAATTCTAAGTATTGAAGTTAATGAAGTATCTAAAGAAATACATTGATCATAGTAATAAGTAACAACTGCTCCAAGAGCATCAACATTAGATTCATAGTCTTAGCTTAATTGAAAACATTGAAAAGAACTACCAATGAACTACATAACTGTAGTTGCAGTAATATTATTTTAGTGAAATGTTACAGATAAAAGTATATGTACAGTTTATATGTAAATAAACTTTTTCAGAAATGCTTATAAGTGTTGTCATTTACGTGAAAAAAGTGAACTACGCTTGAACTATTCAAGATAGATATGAATAGTATAGTCACCAATAAGCTCATTTCAAATGTATTTACGTCAAGAGCTATAGAATTGACAATCTTTCCTTTCATTTTTTTTTTACATTTTTTGTTTGTTTGTTTGTTTGTTTTCTATTTTTTTTTTTTTTTTGCTATTCTTGAGATCATTAAACAAAGACACCATTTCTTTCTTAACAAGGAACTTGCCCTATAATATAATTAGACATTGTTAAGGTAGTACACATGACCTTAAACTTCAAAAAACAATTAACATTACTGATATTCCTTTTTAATGAGTCTGGGACAAGTTAGAAATGTGAAACTTAGAATTGAATTTCAATAAACACAATTTAACGCTTCGTATATTGTTCATTTATCCATGTTTGTGGCCTTTTTCTTCTTTTCCTTTCTAATTGTACGCCAATTTACTTTCCTGTTTGCTCGTTGTCTTTTCTGCTGTATAAATACCCGATGGTCCTGTGTTGGTGGGAAAAGCAAAGGGCTGCGTTCAGGTATTGTTGCTAGTTCTTGTTGATTATACATAAAAATGTCCATAGGTCTATAGGAAGCTACGCTTTTGTGGAAAAACAAAAAGAATGACAAAAAAGTCGGATAAAAAGAAAATCTCTAAAATAAAAATTAAAATATTTGGTTCAAATAGGACAACACCTATAAAAATGGTCTAATTCTTTTTTTAGTTTACCCATATTAACTATCATTTGTAAAACATCTATAACAATCGTAAATTAAAGTACATTGATGTGTACAGCTATCCAAATTAATATTCAATTATTGTTCAGATAACGGGCTGTTCATTGTAAAAGCGAACTTGTCCATAGCGGGTCTGTAAAAAGCAAAAACAAATTGTTTTGAAAAAAAGTTCTATGCATTATAACAACCACTGGCTGAGTATATATGTATATTTCCACATTTATATAGCATGTAATAAATTTTCTTTGAACAAAATATTAAAGATCAAGAAATATTGTAAAAACAGATACAAGAATATCCGAATAATAGATTTGTACGGTGCTCATCAATATTTGAAATAAAGAAATATGATAAAAAGGTATATTTGAAATAAGGAAATATGATAAAAAGGTACTCATGTTAGAGCAATTAACTTTAATAAGTATATGACGAGATGAATTTACAGTTTAATAATTTAATTCCTTGCTGATCCATGTAAATGGGTATTTGATAACACTGTTACCCTTATTAAAATAACAATTCAATATCGATTACGAGAAAGTAAATATTGACAAAACTAGTTGTTTTTGATTCTTGATTACTTGATTAATAGAATAATAGACTATTAAATTGATTAGCATGGGAAACAGAAGACCTTTGTCAAATTGCAAACTGTTTGACAACGCTATCAATGCACAAGAGATAATTGAATTCATATTTATTCAAACTTACAATACATTAAAACACGTTTATAATTACCAATTAGCAGATACTTTTCTGTAAAAGTAATTGATATATTAAATTGCTTTTTGTTAAAACAGATCCTTTTGCAGTAAATCATTAAAACAAACATAATTCGATCTTTTTAGTTTAAAAATAAAAAAGGAACCGTATTTTAATAAAGAAAAACAAAATGAAAATGATAATGTACATTCATTCAAAAACGTTTTACAGGTTTACTTTTTATTTACTATTACAAATATTGCAATTTACGGTGGAGAAGGATTGATTATACATAAGCGAATACATTATATCGTGTCTGGCAGTTAAGAGCATGAACAAGTTTTTGCCTACCTTCGAGGAACAAATATTTTAAATCAAATATGATTCTGATTTTTTTTCTTGCGATTAATCACTGCTTTTCAGGAGTGCTTATTTTGGGACATTATTCATTCGAGGTAGAAAAAGTATCTTTGGTCCCTCAAGAAGGTGTGAAAACAGTTATCCAAAATAAACAGTCATTGATTTCGTGCAGTTATCATTGTCATCAACTTGCGATGTTATCGTTCTTCTTCATTGAGAGTAACTCAACATGTTTTTGTAGCTCTGAGGTTGATTATAACATTAACAAACATGAAAACGCTGGAATAGTCCATGGAATAAGCACACAAAAGGTGTCGACATCATATATACAAGTAAGCATAATTTACAATTCTATTATTATTTGTAACTGTCAGCTTAATCCATTTTGTAGGAGACGCTCAATAATTTTACAAAAAGTTATAAATCAATAAAAAAATATCTCATAAAAATCATTCCTAGTTTTACTTACATGTCATTTTCTTATCACGTAGTTTCATCATGATATATTCACATTTTAAATTATTGACAGTAATATATATTTAATTAGCAATTTTAAATGATTTATATTAATCTAATTATATAAATTTTGTCTCATGGTATGATAAAGTATTAAGGACATAGAAGAACTGTAATGGGAATTTACTATTATCACCACTTTGTTGAGGTCTGGGTATATTTACTTGTTTGCTAGTACACCTTACATATCTTTTATTTTAATTCAGTAATATTTAATTTAAAAAATATAGCACGCATGCGCGGGTTCACACATACACATCAGATACATACTATGCGTTTAATATAACATACTCTATCGATCGCTATTTAGATTTATATCTATATACCCGATATTTGGTAAAATGGATAAAAAGGTAAATCAAATTATTTTTTTATCATCATTTAGTAATAGTTTATATATACTAAGAATACGTATAATTTCCAAATGGAATTTCGATTTGCGTTATCGGTTCATATTTTTTTTAATTGACTTAGAGAATCTGCTTCTCATAAGTTACGTTTTGTACTAGTTTAAGAATGACAATTCAAGTTAGTTTTTAAACTAAATGTGTTTATTCATGTTTGTGAGGCTATACATTAATTAAACAAGCCCGTCACTTGACGAACCAAATGTTCAGGGTAAGCTATTAGTATCAAAGGGGGATGCTTCGGCCTCGGTCGCCATGCGTCAACAATCGTCTTTTTCTCTGAAACTGCTAGGCAGATTTACTTAAAAGTTGCTTTGTAGCATCCTTGTGACAGTCACACTTGAATTTGCCCATGTCATTTCAATTGGCCCCTTATAGGAGTCAACAGAGCTAGAAATAGAAAAAAAACCTTTAAACATCTTTTACTACAGAACTAATTGATAGATGATCACTAAACTTTGTCTGTAGCATGCTTGGGTAGTCTTTTATCAAGTTTGCTCATATTAATTTGATTGGCCCCTTTTAGGGGTCTCTAGGTCTAAAAATAGAAAAACTTTTTATCATCTTCAACAGAACTAATAGATGGATGATCACCAAACCTTGCCTGTAGCATTCTTGGGTAGTCTTTTATCAAGTTTGCTCATATTAATTTGATTGGCCCCATTTAGGGGCTGTTAAAGCTAAAAATAGAAACACATTTAAACGTCTATTTCTACAGAACTAATTGATGGATGATCACTAAACTTTGTATGTAGCATTCTTTGGTAGTTTGTTATCAAGTTTGCTCATACTAATTTGATTGACGCCTTTTAGCGGCCGCTAAAGCTAAAAAATAGAAATACGTTTAAATGTCTATTTCTTCAGAACTAATGAATGGATGATCCCAAAGCTTTGTCTGTAGCATTATTATGTAGTCTACAAATGTACTTATCAAGTTTACTTATATTAATTTGATCGGCCTTTTTTAGGGGTCTCTAGTGCTAAAAATAGAAAAAAAACTTTCGACATCTTCTTCTACATAACTAATTGATGAAATTGTTTTTCTAAATCTATATTAATCATATTTTTTAAAAATAAAATAGGAAAAAATAACATAGATCCATGTTTTAAACATTTTGGTAAAGGTTGATAGTTGTTGACAATTATTTGTTGATTATATAATCCAAGCTTCAATTTCATTGGTGTAAGAAAAACTTTTTTAACAAAATGTTGATATAAATTATATGTACAGACAATGGTATGAGTGCAAGTAGGACTGATAGAAATAATGAAACGCCGTCCGGTCAGCTCAAGATTTAGAGCGTTGGACTGTGAATCAGGCAACCCGGTTTTTTTCCGAATGATGCAGGTCCCTTTCTTTGTAATCGGTCATGAATTCCTTTTTCGATCGTTTGCCTTTATATCAAGAAGTAATCAGTTTCTTGAAAAACAAACCACTTGCTTAACAGACTACCCAGGAACAATGCGGTGGCTGAACTGTAGTATGGTAAATTAATTGTGCATAAATATCTTGTTCCGGAACGTAAACTACCAACACCAACATAAGAATGATTAAAACAAATAAGTTGAAAATCTAATGTAAACCTAATGTAAAATCAAATTGAATTAAGTTTTGAATTAACGTTAAGAAATGTTTCCGATAAAACAGGATGAGTGCAGTTGTAGTTTACTTGGTATGTGCTTTATCGCCTTCTACAAATAATGCTGTGCATTCTCCACTTTTATGAGGACACCGGCATTTCCCTTTATTAGATAATGTTGTCCAGGAAAACACTGTAAGATACTGCAGATACTTCAAGTTTCATGTCCACTTCGTAGTCTTTAAATTCTATTTTTAGGAAAGATTCAGAATAAATTTTGTTTGCAATGCTCATTGTTAAAAACTTTGTAGGTTAGGATCATTTGATTCTTTTTATTTGAATTTAATTATATAACATTGTTGATATTTAACTTTTACAGGAATTCCAATACATAAATGTCATGTTATTGTGTAGTGCTCTGATGTGTATAAAGTGTACTATTATATATTTTTAAAGTTTACTTCCTTCTTTTGTGTCTGTTCTATGAGGAATTTTTGCATTTGTGCCAGTAAAGCACCATAATTTTGATAGTTTGTAGCAATATAAAATGTGGACAGTGGGAATGTTAACCTACTATATGTCACGTGACTCCTTTTGTCATGACAGTGTATATTAGTTATATGGTTTGCGTTTAAAGTAGTTTCTTATTGAAACAAAACACAATATAAAAAATGATATAGTATAACTCACTAATTTTGAGTATAAGTGAATAATTGTTTAGTGCTATTTAACTTTTTTTGTAGTTAATTAGTAGTTGCACTTAATATTTCTTTAATTTCGTTGCTCCAATTCATAAAGAAATATTAAATTAACTTCATATCGTATCATCTATGAAATCAATTGATTTCCTAATTCTAAATTGATATTCAGCTATTTATGACGATGAAATAATATACATTTAGGTAAATATAAAATCAGTTCGATTCTTCTTATATCTTCAATGTATAGTAAAAAATGAAAAAAAAACTTTTTAAATGATGCAAAAATAACTAACTAAAAACACATTTTAATGATGTAGAAAAAAAAACAAGTAATGTTATTTTAATCTTTGATGCGAATATATCTTGAATATATTATATTTCAATGCGTTTTTACAGGAAGGCGGTCAAAAAGTAAAAGAGAGTACACAAACAACCAGAGCCAATTGACTGCCTTGATCTTTACCAACAAGGATATACCGAAGACGGGTTGTATGTGATCAAGCCAGATGTAAGTTCTTCTACCACTGATGTGTGGTGTGATATGACCAATGGTGGCTGGACGGTTATACAACGCCGGCAAGACGGATCTGAAGATTTCTATAGAAATTGGGAGGAATACAAACATGGATTCGGAAACAGAAGCGGCGAATATTGGCTTGGGCTAGACAATATTTACTTTTTGACTAGTGACAGTAGTTCACTTCACATATATCTTGAGGCATTTGAGAATGACAATGTTGATCAAGAGTCTGTTTTTGCTGAATATTCGACCTTCAGCACTAGTGACGAAAATGATAAATACAGATTAAGGGTTGCAGGGTACAACGGCTCTTGTGGTGACTCAATGTCGTATCATAACGAAAATCAGTTTACAACCATAGACAGTGATAATGACAACCTAGTCACACAAAATTAAGCAGTGGAATTTAGTGGAGCTTGGTGGCACAATCGATGCCACCGCGCGAATCTAAATGGATTATACCTGGAGAGGGGAAATACCGATTATGCTCGAGGAATTAATTGGTACGAATGCTGGGGTTATAATTACTCTCTGAAGAAAACTGTTATGAAGATCAGAAGAAACAATTGAACAAATAATTCCTTTCATTTGAAAAAAAAACTGTTCTTTTACATCTGTTCATATACATTGTTTAAAGAGACTGACATGTAATCCTAACATTTTGTTGAGTCCATAAAGTTCATTGTATTGTCTCTGATAATATATAATGCTCTTATTGTTAAGAACAAAACGACAAACATGAAGGGATCCTTAAATGATCTGTAATGATTTGATTTAAGTTCTAAATATTGACATTAATGTAGTATTTAATGCAAACATAAGATTTAGATACACACGTTTCAAAGAGCAACCCCTTCATTATCTTAGCTAAATTGAAAACATGAAAATAGATATCAATGAACTACGTAACTGTTGTTACAGTTACATTATCTAAGTTATACGTTTAACGATAAAACTATATGAAAACAAGCAATTATCATATTATTGCAAGCAATCCATAAGTCTCCTACCGGTTAGAACCCCAGCAACATTCTGAAGGGCCATTGGCCATTTACTAATGTTTCTATTTTAAGTAAATTTGTTGAAAAAGTTCTTTAAAAGTGATCACAAGGAACAGTTGTTATGTACAGACAGACAGACAGACGGACTGAAGGACACTCTAAAGTTATTTTTTCAAACATCACTATTATCAAAAAAACATTGAAATAAAGATGCAAGATGTCAAACATGGCGTGTAACAAAGAACAATTAATAATGAATGTTTTTTTTTTGTATTTGAAGTAAATGAAAGTTAAAAGAACGAATAAGAAAAATTAAAAGTTTAAGGAAAAGATAATTCTGGAAATATTGATTTATAAACCTTGTCATATTATCATGTGGGAGTTTGAAGAAAATCCTATAATGATTGAAGAAGTTGGAGTTAAAATTACCAATTTCTAGAAAAAAAAAGTTCAAAAGGGGCATAATTCTGGAAATAGTCTTGCTAGAGTATTGAACTTTCTCACAAATGTTGAGTGATAATAAGAAACATATATATGAAGTTTGAAGTAGATATATTCAGAAAAAAGAAGTTTTGAACAAAAAAAATATTTTTCTCATGAAAATTTTAAGTTCAAGGGAGGTAATTCTGATACATTTTGGGCTAAAGTTGTAAACCTTGTCACATATGATGTGGTTGATGACTAGCAACTTATATTTAAAGTTTGAAGAAAATACCTTAAGAAATAAAGAACTTATCGTAAAAAAAACTTAAAAACTAGAATCAGAAATCTTGAAATTCTTTCTATTTGTTGCCATAGCAACCAGAATTTTCAACATAGGAAGAAAAGAAAAAGACGCGCATAATCTCCATACTGCCATCTATCCATATATCAAGTTTTATAAAAATATTTTCAGTACAATGTACTGTTTGCGTTATCGCGGGATCCAGTTTTGTGGACGGGCGGACTGACGGATGTTCTCACAGGACAGTAATTATGTGGCTACTCTATTGTTCTCTCTATTGTTCTTTTTAGCCACACAAAAGAAAATAGCCACATAAAAGCATTACGGAATGAATGACATCAAAGAGAAAGAACAGTTACCTATTGTCCCTCTTGCCACATAATTACTCTCCTGTGAGTGCGGACGGACAGACGGACGGACGTACCAACTTTTGATATTTAAGAGGTTAATCAGCTCATAAACTACACCTGGACCAAAGTCCATAAGCAAAATCAGCTCATAAAGTCAAAAAAATAGCTCTTAATTTGAATTTTATGAGCTTTTGTTCTTTATTTAACTACGGAATGAAGCTCCTCAATATCAAATGTTTGCTCGGACAGACAAACGGACGGACGGAGGGTAAACCTAAAGTCCCCTCCGGTAAAACGGCAGGGGAATAATAAACATTCCAGAAATGCTAATAATATATTAGAAATATATGGGACATTTCAAATTGATCACATTGTGATGCGTTAGAAAATTTTGATTTTGAAAGTTATGTTTTCTATATTTGTAACTTTGAAAAAGAGAGATGATAAGGTTATCAACATTGAGTGATGTTATATTGAATAATTTGGATGACAGTAAATATATTTCTAACCTGATAATACCACATTCAGGGTCACAATATGTATTTATTATACAAATGAGGTAACGTAGAAAGTCCTAGTTTCTTGTCCCTTCCCTAGAAATAATGAAGACAAGTCAATGCAGGGGCCATGAATTCATTTTTCACCCGGGAAGGAAAAATACAAGTATTATTCTAGCGTTACAAAAAACACCAAAACATAAATTATTTTGTTTATGTCATTCCTTTCATTCACTTGATCGTTATTATATATGATTCATCATGCTATAAATACTGACTAGAAGTCATTAACTTAAGTAGCATGTTTTATATTAAGCTCACGATCACTGGAAAAAGTGATGACACTCAAAATTTTAAAAAGAATGATGTGTTCACATATTCAGTATATTATATGCTTTGCTTATGTGTAGAAGAATCGGACTATATATTTCTTATCTTCTTTTTTTGGAAAAGGACACTTAGTTACCAAAAGATTCACAATTAAATAAACTTTGTCAGATCAAGGTGGCTACATAATCAACAATGTAACATATAGAGACTAAATAAGTCTTCACATTCGTGGAATCTAATGACTTGCAAATGACAATAGCAGTTTCTGTTAGAGAAAAATCTATTTTGAGCCCATACTCATTTTAGCCAGGTCTGTGCAATTAGCACAGTGATAACAAATAATGCTTCTCACTGACTAAGAGATTTCTTCCCTTTTCCCGATTTGATTTCCTGTTTACAAAGTAGCCATACATGTTTCATTTTAACTTATCAATATCATGTCGTTTTTGTATTGCCGTCAATAACTTTTAGTATGCTTTGAATCAAAATAAGATATTGATGCAGAACAAAAAATAACGTTTTCTAACCTAAAGTTCGTGCTTTTGCTTCATTCTGAAAAGTATTCACTCTTTACTCGATGTTTGTCTATAAAAGTAAGTATTTAGACAGATTTTTCTTTCAAACTTCTTGATGTAATATATAGACTTTAATCTTTTAATGTTTCTAAAATCTAAATAATAGTTTACACAACAAGTGCAGTACGTGTTCTTAACTCTTTGTATTTCGTGAAAGTTATTATCAATAATAAATGTAGCCTTGAAAAAAGATGGTAACATGTGATTAAAATCATAATCAATTGTAGGATACTACGTCATTGCGCACCTGCAAAATGCAGCCTGCGCAGTCTGATCAGGATCCATGATGTTCGCCCAATCGAACTTTTATGTAGCATTCCGTCTATTTGAAAATAAAATATGATTTTTATGCTAAAATATCTATCATTATAAATATGTAGCCCACCACAAAAAGGCTATAGTATTTGTTATTTAATTAAAAGAAAAACAAATAAATAAAACATTTAAAGTTGTACAGTCTGATTTAAGCAACAAAAAGGGGATAAATTTTATTTGGGAATCCGGTTTTGAGTATTTAGGAAATAACATTTTATCTTTGTGTAGACGAGATGTTTGCATAAAATCAAAAAAGGGTATATTTTGCAGGTGTACGATGATTTAGAAATCTACTTTTGATAATGAGCAAAAGATTCCAGTAAGCTGTTATTGTTGTAAGATATTTTATTTCAGTCATATAAAAACCCAGAAATTATATAGAATTACCTGTCACTAGCGGAGAAATTGGTACATACTTGTCAGTTAATAAGGCAAGCCGGAAAGGTAGATGGCCTGCCGACATATGATCAAAAGATGTTTGAAATCGGCACACAACAACAAATATTAAACGAACCCCCATTTCTTTTGATAGAGGTTAAACGTTAAAAATTAATAGTGGATATACATTTCCTCATTTAGTTGAAACAAAAAGTTACCACCGTCATGTACCTATTTGCAGCGTTACATTCAATGTGATACCTTTCATAACATCCAGGATGTTCGGAAGGGATAATAATACCTATGGCAGATTTTGTATCAGCAATAATTTGAAATTTTTGAAATCATTACAGTAAGTTTAATCATAACTGCACAGAAATTTCCAATTACACAAATTAGAAACATCCGCCGAGACAATATCTTCATTAGTGATAATGATGTAAAGAGTGATAAAATTGTCTATTAGAAGCAGAATATACGTCATTAAAGACCCGCTTATCAATTTAATTCTAAATTAATCGGCGACAATATGATAAACACAATGTAATAAACATAGTCATAATGGTAAGTAAAATTGAAACTGGCAAAGTAATTGTAAAGACCTTGCTTGATATAGTCTGGTCGAAATTGATTCATATCAAACAGAAGCTAATACCGGTTAAGACAGGAGATAAGTAATATTAGGTTATTAAATTTGCACGGATGTGTCAGCTGGTCTAGAATGATGGCATAGAAGGATTACGTGGCAACCAGAAGATAACATAATATGCGATAACATTTTACTTAGGATGGCAGGTCACGATTTGCAGTTTTTACATAATTTTGAATTTTAGATGAATATAAATCCATTAGTTGTGTTTACTAAAAAACTCGAAGTTAATAAGTTTATATTCGAGCGTTGTTATCTTTTCTTTCTTATTAAAAGTTGCGAAGCGAATAATGGCGTTAGTTTAGCTAAAATCACTAAACGTGTAAACAAATATAATACACGGCAATGTTCAATAACTGCAGTACAAATATAGTTTTTAAGGGCTTCTGTAGCCGAATGGTCACTGTCTCTGTCTCGGACCATTTCCCCTTTACCGCCGTTGGTCCGAATCCCGCCAGGGAATTTAAAATATATCATTAGAGGAAAATATCAAGCTAGGCTACTACTGGTCGGTGGCTCTACTTGAGTGACAGACATAATGAAATGATGCTCTTGAGGGCGTCGTCCACCATTTATGGAATCGATAATACTTTAAACGTAATAAAAGTAGAGAAACCAAAAAAAAAAAAAAAGAAACAGAGAAAGAAAGACATATCTTCCATAACATTTTTTTTACAATTAGTCTGGCTTGTCTATGAACAGGCTTTGGATTATTTGCCTTAAATATGCCTCATGTTCTAACATGCATCAAACAGCAGTTAAACTCAGATTTTATGTTTGTACTTATTAATCATAATCTTTTTATTGAAAACCACTTTGCAGACAGATCGGTTCAGTCTAATAAGAAATTAGACCTTACTTTAGCTTTTAGCTGTCTAGTTATTTCTCTGTAAAGTTGCAATTGATGAGATTTGATGTTAATAAGTAATATTTGAAAGAAATTGAGCATCTATCAGCTGCGGGAGTTTTTTGATGTCCATAATGATATGCGGAGTTGGTTTTGAAGAATTTGCTAGAGCGCTTTAT